AAAGTCGGATGGTATTCCGACTTGAGGTGCCACTTGTAAGACATCCGCAGCTTGTAAGTCACAGATGTCTATGGAAGTCACACCTAAAGTCATGCATGCACTACATTAGAAATCGGTGCGGCTCCGAACAAGTCGGAATCGCACCGATATGACCGCAGTAATTGTGGACAATAGGGTGTGACTTGCCATGCGATTTGCAAGTCGCTCCCGGTGTCATCATGGTCTTAAACCCAAAATCAAACATTTATTATATTGCAGTTTACCAATGAAGAGGTGATGGCTTCATTACTTTCCTTTATTAGGTGTTCTTTCTTCTATTTTCATCTGGTGATCCAGCCAACAACTCTGCTGTTTTCCAGAAGCACAATGTATCAGTTTACATGGGTGAGGCAAACCACTTGACACTGGCAGGGGTGATTGAAATGATCGCTGTGGGCAGCACAGTGGCTAAATGGTTAGCACTTCCGCCTGGCAGTACTAGAGTCGTTGGTTCGAATCCCAACCACTCCACCACCTGCCTGGAGTTTGCATGTTCTCCCTGTGCCTGCGTGGGTTTCCTCCCACACTCCAAAGACATGCTGGTAGGTTAATTGGCTCCTGTCTAAATTGTCCCTAGTATGTGTATGTATGAATGTGAGTTAGGGACCTTAGCTTGTACGCCCCTTTAGGGTTAGGGACTGGGTTTCCTCTGGGTACTCTGGTTTCCTCTGACATTCCAAAGAAATGCTGGTAGGTTAATTGGCTCCTGTCTAAATTGGCCCTAGTATGTGTATGTATGAATGTGAGTTAGGGACCTTATATTGTACGCCCCTGAGGGTTAGGGACTGATGTGAATGTACAATGTATATGTAAAGTGCTGTGTAAACTGATGGCGCTATATAAGTACCTAAAATAAATAAATCTGCTTTTATTTATTCATGCAAAACCTTTATCCCAAAACAAAGAAAAAACTGCTCTAAAGGATTATAATGAATTAGCTGGAGTTTAGCTTCAGTTTGTTTTAGTGTATTTAAATCTGCTAATACATTTAACATTCCCTTCCCCCAAGGCTGATAATGCTGCTGTGCCTCCTGTGCTCATTCATCCAGAGCTGTGTCTCACGAATACAGGAGGTGTGTTACTGGCCGGATCAGCAGGTGAAAACAGGGAAAAACCCAAAGAAAAAAACGAATGCAGACCTCACATTTAATGATTGGTAAGCTGCAATATAATACATTTCTGGTTTTGGCCCGGGTTCACATATATGCGGTGCGGGATATCGCATGTGATTCGCACAGGAACCGCACCGCATTCCTGTGCATGAGAATTCTGTGTGGTGCGATTTGAGCCGTACATTTTGTATGGCTCAAATCGCATTGCAGCTGCGCCAAAAATGGTGCGATTTTTTTTTTTTTTTGGTCCGCACTAGAATTTGGATTGAATGGGTATTCACACCTATGCGATCCGATTCTCCACATCGCACCATGTTTTGCAAACCAATTTCAAGGTGTTGTTAACATACACACCCGCAGCGGTTCACATGAACGGGGTGCGATTGTGATGCGGTGCGGAATTTGCACAGAAACCGCTGCACACATTCTGCATCAGTGTGAACCCGGGGCTTAAGTGTAGATGTATTTCCAAAACTCAAAAGATAGCGAAAGAGGATAAATGACCAGAAGGAAGATCTATCTAAGTGTAGTAGTTGATATCAGAAGGTATAGAATAAAAAAAATTATATATATATATATATATATATATATATATATACACACACATACACACATTTTTTTTTTGGTGCATCTCCTCAAATCTGGGGGATTTGGGAAGTCAATAAAGGATCCGGTTTGGGAGCTTGTGGGGCCTATGTCTGTCTCCAGGCAGGTAGACGGTGGATGGTCGCTCTCTGAATGATCATGTGCCTTGCAGTGACTGGATCCCATATGTGATATAGGAGAAAGTGTTCGCCCCAAAAAGAGAGTCCTGGTGTGATCAGCTGAGGCTCCTGTGATCGAAGAAAGAACTTGGGGGGAATGCGCATCAAAAAAGGTGAGTATTTATCGGTCAGATAATCAAATACACCAACGCGTTTTGTGGCTTCAAACATGGCGGCTTCATAAGGACAGGTGTAACAACACTTTTATATGCGGCCTTTGAGCTTTCTGAAGAGGTCATGTTGAGAAATTTGAAAGATTTTAGCAAAATGATGCCATTGGCCGCATAGCCAATGAAGGAAATGCCTTGGCACTGGAACAAGCATCCTGATTGGAAGATTTCCCCTCTATTCCTGTTTTGGGAAGAACTCAGAATTGTGGATATCCATTAATTTTGACTCCTACTGACAATGGTCACCGGGACAAATAGAGGAGTGGAGCTGCACCCACAGGGGGACAGAGAGCAATAAAGACCCCACAGGGGGACAGAGAGCAATAAAGACCCCACAGGGGTTCCGACCCTTCCCTAACCAAAAATAATGCCGGCCATACATGGGTCGAAATTCAACTGATTTTTCGTCCGAAAATCGTACCTAAGAATAATTGTCCGATTTTCGCTCCGTTAGTGGGTCAACAGCAGCGGACGATTTTCGTGGTCCCTCCGCTTTTCGGTAATCGGGCATGTTGGAAAATTTGTGAAAAACTACCAATTTTCAACTCAATGATGGTAAAATCATACGATCGTTTTCCCGAAAATATGCACGTGAGCTGTGACCTGGAAGGAACAGAAGTTTCCCGTTATATGGGGTGAACTTTATGACTTGGTCGGCCGATTTTCTAAATCACTGATGGCGCCATCGGATTACCGAGCAAATTTTGAGTTTCAGACGAAAAATCGTTTGGAATTCGACCCATGTATGGCCTGCATAAGAAATTATTATGATACAGGATTTATATAGCGCCAACAGTTTGCTCAGCGCTTTACAATATAACGGAAGACAATACAGTTCAATACAAGAGGGATAGGAGGGCCTGTTCCTGGGAGCTTACAATCTAAGATGAAATGAAACCAATAGATACAGCCAGGGGCAGACTGACCATTTGGAAACTTGGGCACTGCGAGGGCCCGGGGTCAGTAGGGGGCCCCCATGAGATGCCCCTGGTACTTTTTTTCATAGGCTTTTTTGAGTTTGGGCAAGGACACAGGGGCCCCAAGATCCCCTATTGCCCAGGGGCCCCATGAGTTGTCAGTCCGCCCCTGATTACAGTTTAGATTCATGGATACAAAGCGGATTTGCCAAGTACTGCTATGCCGATTTGCACTGAAGAGCTGAATCAGGAACTGTATTCTGTTGCTACTCAGAACTCCAGGCCGGGCTCCACTGAGGACTGGAATCTGACTGTATGCTTTATTAGCACCACCTTGTGGTTTAACTTATTAGAGCGCATACAATACTTTTCTTTCGTGCGGTTAGGTTTTTTTTTGCATGACGTGTTTCTATTCGGGTGACCTATGTTCACAGAGCGCAATACAAATCAGATAGAGGCTGTCTGTGAAAGTTCTCATTGATCCCGCTCTGAGGAAGGGGGGTTTCACCCCCGAAACACGTAAGCTGTGCCCTGATGGACGTGCTTCTGGCGGCTTGTTTGACTTACACGCATTTGACCATTTGCCTTTGTGAGCAGTTTGGCGTTCTTTATCTATTCAGTAAAGTCTTCTGATAATGCACGAGGCTGACGCGCTTTATGTTTGTCCTCATTTATCCAGGTCTTCGTAGTTACTCACATGCAACGTGACTTGCTCAGTAATGCTGAAGACCTTTCATGGCTGAAATAAACTACAGGAGCTTCAAGAGCTAAAGAGGAACTGGTTTGAGGAGGATCCAAGGGTATTCCCCGTACCAGGACAGGTAGAAGAGGGGACAGAACGCAATAAAAGGGTTCTCCTTTACAGCCGATAACCCACAAATCACTAGATGTGGACCCTCTAGGACTTCATCCTGGCACGGTCTGGGGTACACAACCAGATTAGGTTTCAGGGAAGAGGCTGAAGCAGCTTGGAGATTGTGAATGGACTCCCAAGCCTGCCAGAGAACTCAGGAATGCAGCGCAGCTAGAAGTGTGAACCTCTGCTCAAAGACTAGATGCGACCAGTTGATAAATGACATGTTTCAGGACTATGCATTTTATAAAATTTTAGTTAAAATAATTGACTGGTGGCATAATTTTCTAAAGCTTTTTTAGGGGGCGATTTCAGGGAAGACACAGGAAATGGTCACTGAAGTATAGAAATCTCATAACTAGGATAAAGCAGGTCTTGGACACAACAGAAGACTAGAGTGGCATTTGGTGAATGGGGGACTGTAGTTTTTTTTGTGAGTCCCATATTTAGTGAGAGGCCAAGAAACTTTAACCCCTTGGCGCCTCCCAGCTCTTTAAGGGTTTCAGAAGCCAGGAAGCGGGGCGAGGTTTTAGGGTCATGTGACTGCCGTGATTCGCGGTCACATGATCGGGAAAGGTCCCGATTGAAAGATTAGGACCTTTCAGTGAGTACCGAACGTGTGTGCTGGGAGCACGCTCTCTGCACATTTTTTTTTTTTACTTTAATAGAACGCAAATGTGCAGCTGCTTGGCCTCTAGGCCCAGACGCCAGGAGGCCGCACATTTGCGGTTGGCTGGCGCCAAGAGGTTAAATTCTTGAATGGTGACAGGTTTTCACTCAAACTAGACAGGCATAAAATGGAGCTACTAGTGCAAACCCAGGGTAGTGCGATTTCATGCCAGCCTGGGCTCCCATTGGGGGTTGACTACCACTAGTCATCTAACCCACCAAATCACCTGGAATCCTGATGTGAGCAATGAGCCAAGTACACCCCCTTACCCCATCACATAATACTGCTGGTATATACCCAACACACACACGGGAATTCTAACAACATTTTATTGAAGATGGAAGAACTAAGTGCTTTTTCCTCCAGAACATGGAGGGATGGAGTGTCAGCATGAATACAACAAATCAGTGCAGGTCAGGGGGTGCCCCCCCTTGTCACAGGGGACAGTCACATCTTATGGAGTAGTAGAGTAGTTTCAGTTGTTTGCAGAGAAGTACTCTTTACTGTCCTTCACGTTGGGCTTGATGGTGCTGCTTCCAGGCTTCCATCCTGCAGGGCAAACTATAAAAACACAGCATGGTTAATACCTGGTTTGAGATGAGATCCATTCCACCATTTACTTCCATGCCACCATTTACTTCCATGCCACCATTTACTTCTATTAAACATCAGCTCTGGGAACTAGAAGCCCAAGCCAAAAGCCAACAAGGATCTATAGCTGCACAAGATCCCCCATCCACACACACCATAATTTTCCTTTTGTACAATATGCACTGTCCAACATCCTTCAACAAGCATTTATTGCTTTGTATTGAGGGCTGCAGTGTCTGCACCTTTCAAGAGATACTGTTTGGGGGGTTTTAACTTCTATTCAGGCCTAAACTAATGTGCAAAAAAACAAACGTTAGGATTGATCAAAACTACTTGTCAACAGCCAAATCAATGTGAAAGTATTTTCCTCATGCATTTCAACTACAGTTGATAGATTTAAAGTGTTAATAAACCCCGGACCCCGCCATTCACTACATCCGGTCTCCCCCGGACCCCGCCATTCACTACATCCGGTCTCCCCCGGACCCCGCCATTCACTACATCCGGTCTCCCCCGGACCCCGCCATCCACTACATCCGGTCTCCCCCGGACCCCGCCATTCACTACATCCGGTCTCCCCCGGACCCCGCCATTCACTACATCCGGTCTCCCCCGGACCCCGCCATTCACTACATCCGGTCTCCCCCGGACCCCGCCATTCACTACATCCGGTCTCCCCCGGACCCCGCCATTCACTACATCCGGTCTCCCCGGACCCTGCATTCACTATATCTGGTCTCCCAAAGTACACACTACATGGAAATGCAATTATTTTAGTAAGCATAAACTTAAATACCTTTTCATATCAGCAGTCGTGACTAGCAGTGTCCAGCCGAGAACTGGTTAAAAGCTTGTAGGATGAGTTTTATTTTTGCTATGAGGATGCAGAACCCCTGACCTGTCTGGACAGTGCTGATCACATGCACTCTCCCAAGAAAACCTCTCTGCACATGCTCAGTTTAATGTGAATTGCTAGAGTGACTCCACACAATATCTTATGAGGAGATAAGAGGGGGGCACTGGAAGAAGGGGAGGATCAGAGAAGTCAGGATCAAACCACGGTTTTACACAATGCAGAGGATAAACCCCCTTAGGTTCTACAGCGAGTATAACAAGTATGCTTTACTGTATATACAGACCGATTTTACAGTTGTGGGTTTAGTAACACTTTACAGTGGTACGGTCTGCTTACAATGAAGTGGTAGCACAGTGATCAGATACTTTTGAAGCAGGTCTTCCTTTAAAATCTATGCATTGTACAGTATTCCCAGTTTGCTTAGGCCTGCTCAGTATATCTAGACAAACATCCAGTTGCGCATGTTTAATGCCAAAACATGAAATGCTGATATGAAATACTTTTCATTAAAGACAGATCGTATACGTTCCCTGTCCTAGGGTGATATCCATTCAGCAGCAGTGACAACACAATGCCTCAGCAGTCTACTGTAGTCACCACTAAGATGTGTTCCTGCTGAAGTATGAACACAAAAGAACATCATACAAAACTAAGGAATACGCAGAAGAAGCAAGCCACCAGAGCTTGTTTTGAGTGTGAAGATCCAGAATACCAATCTGGATTTGGGACAGAAGAGATTTCAGATTTCAATGGGTACATGCTTTGTCTGGACCAACTACTGAATAGTCCACTTTCAACAAGGAAACAGCTTTCCATTAGAAGCCTCATGTATGTTTATTGAAATATAGAATGCAGAAACTAATGCAAATGCCCCACAAGGTCACATTTCACTCCATCCAGAGATTATTCACAGACTACAAATAAACTCCAGACGGAGTGAAACATGTTAGAGTTTGTTGAAATGTGGTTTATTAAAGCTGGTCCACCTGTCCCACAAACATAGGGGGGCTTTTAAAGGAGAGCAGCCAGAGAATGAGAAATTATTGCTTTTACAGCCTTTATGGGTATAAAAGCAAATCCGTGTAAAAAAAAAAAAAAAAAAAAAAAAACCCCCCCCACTAGTACAGTGACACTATACTGCTAGGGTGACAGTATGTAAAAAAATATAAAATAGTAAAAAAAAAAAAATTTAAAAAAAAGTTATAATTTTTGGTTATAAACTAACTTAAGTTTTTTTTACTAAAAAGAAAAAAATTTTGGCCAAGATTCATGATGAAATCTTATTTGCAAACTTTTATAAGAAAAACACTTTTCCAAAATTTTTGGACTTTCATTTACATAAAAAAAAAAAAAATCCCAGTGGTGAATAAATAACACCAAAATAAAGCTCTGTCTCAAACAAATGCTAAAAAATTCATATGGGTACAGTGTTGCATGACTGCGCAATTGTCATTCAAAATGCAACAGCGCTGAAAGTTGGCCTGGACAGGAAGGGGGGTGAAAGTATCCAGACATGAAGTGGTTAAAGGATAGGTCCCATATTCAGGGCATAACAGAGCAGCCCCCGCCATCGGGGAATAGTCTTCTCCTGCTGTCAAAGTGTTAAAAAAGTGGCTGTGCGGGGAACAAAGTCACTAATTCAGTCCTCTGAATGAGAAACTACAAGTCCTGATGGCCTTAGCGGCTGTCGGCTGCAGTTCTCAATGAACTACCACAATGCTGTGGAGTGCTGTAGTAGTTCACGGTTTCTTACAGTCAGTAGATCTGCTTGCTCGTACATCCCATATGGGCAAGCAGGTCAGTATGAGATATGCATGGCATCAGCATTCTACTAACTGGTGCAATGGTCTACAGGCTCCTGCACCAAAAAAAAAAAATAAAAAAATAAAAAATGTGACCAGCAACTGCTGGAGGCCTGCACTCAGAGTGAAGTATGCCCGTAAAAAGACTGAACATTTCTGTGCAGCTCAAAGCATCAGCTCCAGTTTCAATGGAGACATGTTCTGGACATCTACTCTTGAATTCCATATTAATCCCACCCCCCAGATCCACATTCCAGCATATTTAACCATGCAGGTTCCATAGCCAACTGGCAGCCATCATGGCAGATTCCATCTTACCCTCTCCATGCTTGTCGGTGAATTGGAAGGCCTGAACCAGACGGAGGATCTCATCTACAGATCGGCCCACGGGCAAATCATTTATAGTGATTTGGCGGAGGATTCCTTTGCTGTCGATGATGAACAACCCCCTAAGAAAGGCAAAGATTGGTCAAACCCTGGAACTAGACCAAGGCTGTATACAGATTCCTGGACAGTACAGGCATCCGGTTATATCCTTCACAGCTTTACCAGCAGCCTTACCTGTAGGCCACACCATCTTCCTCCTTCAGAACACCGTAGTCCCGGGCAATTGAGTGTTTTAGGTCAGACAAAAGAGGAATGTTCATGGGTCCCAGACCACCTTCCTTGCGAGGGACGTTGGTCCTGAAAGAAAAAAAAATAAATAAATAAATGAACCAGCTTGCTTAAATTTGTGTTCAAATATTCAACTGGCTTCAGAGAACTCAACTTCTCTATGATCACAAGTACGTAGGGTGTGTGTACTGGAGACCGTACACCTTGGTGCCATTCCAGATCTACAGGCTGAAGAAAGATTCAACATTCTGTAGGTCTGCTTCAAAGAGCCATGTTGGCCAAATGTGAATCAAGACCAGGTGATCAAGATATTTTTATTAAAGCCCAACTCTGGAAGACCCCCCCCCCCCCCCCCCCCCCGTTCCCCCTGATGAAATCACATGACATAGCATGTAGGGAGGAGCTGGTGACATGCTGCACAAATTGAAGTACACGGCCGGCAATTTTGTTGGTTGGTTTCAACTACACATGCCTGTATTCCATGTGCACAAAAAAAAAAAAAAAAAAAACGCATTATATTTTTCCAATAAATGGCAAGCTTTATGCGGAGAGCACTATACTTCCTGCTTTGTTCTGAGTTTATTGAAAACATTCCACCAAGGACTGCCGAGGATGGAGATTGATTGAGAAGCCCCAGTGACCTGGAGGAAACCATTACTCTTGTGATGGCGGTGCCCACTACAAGGGGCAGGCGCATGAGACCTTGTTGTGCGGTCTATTAAAAAGGTGAGGGCATATTACCAATGGTGGATGGGTATTAGAAATGAAGAGCAAAACATGTAGTACATACTTGCTTGCACGGTTGGATTTTTGGACATTCTTATGAAAACAGACACTTTGAATTTACCATTATTTACTGTTTTGTAGTTATGGGTGTGGATAGTTTGATATATGGCGATGAATTAAACGCATTGTATGCATGATTCTATGTTTTGATATATACACATATGATACACACATGTCCACAGAACATAAGATTTTTTATTTAGTTTTTTTAGGTTTTGTCATTATGGGTGTGGATGGTTTCAAATGTATCCCAAAATGCAAATGGTGAGCGCTATAGCAGTAGGAGCAGCTAGCATCAGAGATGGTGACTACATACATACCTTTTTGACACAATGTCACATATCAGTACAACCAATATGGTATTATACAGATTTATACTAGGACTTTTTTGTTCATCAGTGATGTGATACTAGTAGTCACGGCAAATTGTGTTTGGTTCTACACCGTGCTTTGGAGTCCAGTGTGCAATCCACCACCACTATGCACTCAGTGATCTGTGTTATCCACTCGGACATCTGTTGGTCTAGTTACATCCTGAAAGGAAACGCTCACCACACAGCCCGGAAAACTGTATATAGTGTAGTATTTATTGAAAATTATGCATAAAAGCATTCCAGGTGGAAAATAAAACATTAAATATGCCATATACCAATATGGCTGCAGTTCCAAAGCACGGACTCGGCAGAGTGACGTCCGCACGTAGGCTCCTTACAACGCGTTTCGTGCGCATGCACGTCCTCAGGGGTAAACCTATATATTTATACCATTGACACTATTCTACTTTATATGCTGCACCACATATAGGTTAGTTTCAGATATATGGTGATGAGTTACACGTATGTATTTGACACATGCATGTGATACATGCATGTCCACTGAACATACTTTATTATAAGATTTAGTGTGAGTATTGTTCTAAATCTATTGTGACGACAAACTTGCGTTCTACGCAAGTTCTGTTTGGACATAAACGTATAAGATACACACGTCCACCTAATACAAGATGTGATATTGCATGGCACATGAGAATGTATCACTAGGAAGATTTGGTATTGCGGGCACTGAGTCACTTATATTTTTTGTGGGAACACAGTATGAGCAGCGGTATGAACATAAGTTATACACAGCCAACTGATCAATGAAATAAAAAGCCCCATCTGAAGGATCTTTATTATTAACAAACAAGATTTAAATAGCACCAGTTTGCTCGGTGCTTTACAATATTAACAGGAGACAACACAGCAATGATACAGTTCAATACAAGAGGGTTAGGAGGGCCTGATCCTGGGAGCTTACAATCTTTACTACTCTAAAGCTGCGTTCACATGACACTCCAGGCCCCAGTCTTTTACATCCGGCAGGTTTCGTTGGGTGTCCCCTGCCGGGGGTCCCTAAGATTTAAAAGCAGTGATGTCATTACAAGGGGTGGTCAAGGACAGGATGGGTGTGGGAACACTCGAAGCATTGGATTTATACTCCCCACACTTGCAAAGAGACTAAGAAGATGATCTAGGCAAGTAATCTGCATGTACCAAAAAAAAAAAACCACACGACGGCACATGCAGGAAGGGGGTCATGGTTTTACCAAAGTTGGGCTTTAAACTATTGGTCTTTAAAAGTCTACACTGGAACAGCACCCAGTTTTCTGTTATCTCACTCTTCAGCTCTTAATATGTAGTTACCTGGCCATATCTTGCCCTAGACATACTCCTTCGCTATAAAGCAGGGGAGATTAGGACTGTTAATGTCCCCAATGCTTCACCCTCAGCTACTACAATAGTCCTTTTATGAAAATAGCATTAGAAATAATTGAGAAGTTTATAATCCCCAAGTCAATGGAATTACAGGGAAACTAGTCTGTTTTGATCTTTGATCTAAGATCAGTTCTAAGGCTGGGATCACACTACAGGTGCAACAGTACACTTTCCAGGGTGTTCCTACATCTAGGGCAGCTCATATGTACAAAATACTGCAAAAAAAAAAGGCCATCTTTTAACCATTAGCCCCCTGGCCAATGGCCGTTTGGCGGCTTCAGAAGTGTCTCTCCCGCACATGGGCTGTTTGCGCTAATGCAGAGCGGCGCAGCAGTGCGATCTGTCACCGGCTGTGCACCTCGGACACGGCCAATGACAGATCCGAGCACCGGCTCCCGTTGCTGGTACCATGTGACCTGCTGTGACCAATCACAGCAGGTCACATGACAGTTGTATACAATGGATGGCTTCATTCATGATGCCATCCATTGTATACTAGTGCCTAGCTGTGAATGGTCACAGCGAATCACATGCACATGTCATGTGATTAGCTGTGACCAAATTACAGCTAAGCACAAAAAAAAAAAAAAAAAGCTGAATCGATTTCATTCAGGTAAATGCTTGCTTATAGCAAAGTAATTCTTTGCTATAAGCAAATTGTTTAAAAAAAAAAAAAAAAATACTGATCACTTCCCCAAAGTAGTACAATGTTACTATGGTAACATTGTACTACTTTGGTCATAGTAAAATCTTAAAAAAAATCTTAAAAAAATTAAAGTAATAAAAAATTAAATATAATAAAAAAAATATATATTTTTTTTTTTTCCATACTGTCACCAGTCAGTGTCCCTGTTCACCGCCATGCCAGTTATATGATGACACTGTACTGCACTGGTGACAGTATGTAAAAAAAAAAAAGTGAAATTTTTTTAATTTTTTCATTTTCCGAAAAATGACAAAAAAAAATACAACTTCAAAAAAACTCGCCATGCCTCTTAAGTACGTTGGACTGTCTACTCTGCAAAAAAGGGGTCATTTGGGGGATATCTGTACTGTTCTGACATTCTTGGACCTCAAGATATTAGATTGGCTGTCAGTACTTCAGGATTGATCAATATTCAGATCTATCCCATAGTTTGTGAACTCTATAACTTTCCTACAAACTAAAAAATACATCCTAATTTGGGTTATTTTCACCAAAGACATGTAGCAGAATACATCTCGGCCTAAATTTATGAAGAACAATTATTTATTTGCAAACTTTTATAACAGAAACAAAGAAAAATGTGTTTTTTCAAACTTTTTGGTCTTTTTTTGTTAATTTAGCAAAAAATAAAAACCCCAGCGGTGATTAAATACCACCAAAAGAAAGCTCTAGTTGTGTGAAGAAAATGATACAATTTTAGTTTGGGTACAGTGTTGTATGACCGCGCAATTGTCATTCAAAGTGTGAGAGCGCTGAAACCTGAAAAATGGCCTGGCCAGGAAGGTGTAAAATTGCCCGGTATTGAAACTGTTAAAAAAAAAAAAAAAAAAACACCAATACACATCTGTGGCACATGGTGGTCTGGTGTGTGAAACTGCATTTGTGTGCGTGAAACTAACAATTAATGGCACCACATTTCTCTGCATTTTGGGAACAATTCTGTGCACGTTTGACATGAAGATGTGAACCTAGCCTAAAGCACCAGAATTCTGGATAGAGGTCTCAGGATTTTATAGTCTGTCCCTAATGGGAGATTCCCCCACACAGGACAGTTTGATTGAAATCTTTCCCAAAAAATGTGGAACTTCAAACGAAAGGTCTACTTCTGTTTGTGTGCCGCACCATTATGAGAAGCCTCATTTGTATCTAAAGTGACTCGTGTGCACTGCATGCAGTTTCAGGTCCTTTACATTTTTATCTACCGAACACACGTTTTCACCAAAGAACCTTTGCTTGTATATATTTTCTCATCATAGGCTTGGTTTGAATTCACAGGTTTGCTTGGAGATTGGACTATGAACGGCAAGTGTAGCTGATAAGGTGTGTATGAACCAGCCCATGCTTCTATATATAGGAATTCTAAGAGTGAACAGAACAAGTGACCTCTGAGGTAGCTGAACCACGTGTGTGATATCTCCAGTGAAAGGTCCTAACGCCCGCAAATGCGCAAGGCCAAGGATACATCACTCCTGCCGCAGTCTAAATGTCACTGAAGAGACCCAGGATTAAAGGTTTTATGGGCGATGATAAACCTGTGCTTTTTACCAATGGATATTTATAGGTAGGGCAGTTTAGATTCTGGGCAATAAACATGCAGACCATCTCTGCAATTCATCCACATTTCTCCATGTTTTGTTTCTAAGGCCCCTTTCACACTGACAGTCCGATCTGCCTGTCAGTTTTTCAGGGGGACCTGATCGGACCATTCATAGACCTCTATAGACTGGCGGGTGTCTGCTAACACCCACCAGCATCCAGATAGGCCGGAAACAGACAGAGGAGGATGCGTTCTTCATCTGGTGGATTGGAGGGCAACCGGATGT